GAAGGAAGGAAGGAAGGAAGGAAGGAAGGAAGGAAGGAAGGAAGGAAGGAAGGGGTTAATTGATGGAAAAGTTGAACAGTGTGTCCAGGAGTACTGAAGTTTAGTTTTGACAAATGCTAAAATTTCCATCTCACTGTTGGAGGCCAGGGAGGGCTCCCTCTGCCACCCTGTTCCATAGGCAGGGCTGCAAAGCTGATCACTCTCTGTTAGTCAGCATCGGGTGGGAATCCCCTGACTAGCAAGGACAGAGGCTATCGCAGTCCCCTGGCCACGAAAGGTAGATTTGGCCCCATTTTCTGCCTCCCCTAAACCCCACCCCCCGGCAAGCTTTCTTTGTGTCCTGGGAAACTCTTCTCCCCTGCTTCTCTCTGTGTTTATGGCTTGTGGCCTCCCGGCATGAGTCATTTTGCCGGGATGAGGAAGAGAGGCTGAAAGAGAGAGAAGAGCCCCATCAGCGTTTCCAGTCTGGCTTTGACAGCTCAGCCCTGCCGGCGGAAGCTGCCCCTGACCTACGCGGGGAAGGCCTCCTAGGCCAGCAAGCTTTGCCAAAAGCTCAGCTGAGGGTGGAAACTGGCATGGCCAGTTTTTCCGCAGCCTTTTTTTCCCCACTGGCGGGCGCCCTGCCCGCCGGTCAGCCTGGGCAGGGGGTCTGGAGAAGACAAGGATGGGGATCGATGCTGGTGACGGTGAGATGTGCTTTGCCCTTCTAGAGCGATTGGACGCACGGCCCCCTCGGGAAGGAGCAGCTGCGGTGGTCCATGCAGAACGCCCACGTGCAAGAATGGAAGGGCACCCAGCGGAAGTCACTGGGCGACATCCTTTGTGTCTCAAAAGTGAAGCTGCAGCATTTGCCTTTCCAGGTGTGACACTCTTTAGGGGAGGAGGAGGAGGAGGGCTGGGGGGGCTTTTCCATGGAGTGAAAGAACCTCAAAGGGGAGACCTTCGGGAGGAGCAGAAATGTCATTTTCTTCTGGACCAAAACAATAACCTGAGATAGATAGATAGATAGATAGATAGATAGATAGATAGATAGATAGATAGATA